AGTCTTCAGGCTAGGCCAATGCATAACTTGAGTCCCATTGCCTTTAGTCCCGCGGAGTGGCGAATCAGTGGGGATCCTACTGACCTGGTCTCCTGCTCTCTCCTTATTCCCTGCATTCGTCCTGCCTTACACTGGCCAACTGATGTCCCTGAAATCTCCTTCTCTGGCCAGATTGAAACTTGCCAATTACTCTGCCTCTTCCCTTACGTATTTATTGTGCGTCGAGTAACACGAGATGGATTAATGCAGAAGCAAAGCAATATTCCTACTGCTTATTATTGAATGCTGTCTTATCGATAACGTCATCATTGCATTTTTCCTTTTATTTTTCCTATTCTTATCCTTCTTCGTTTCAGTCATTCTAACAATCGGATGGATCGAGCACTTAAGCATTACTACATCTCCACTATTTATCGCATCTTCACATGATCCTGACCTTTCTACCCTCCCAATTTCTTTCTCCTGAGCCTCTCTTTCGCCTTCATAGTACGTGAGAATATTGTAACTCCTCTTTTTATTACGAAGGAAAGTTGGTCGAAAGGAATTCGTGAATTGGTCGCACCAGAAACCGATAGATTGACGACCATTGTATTGTGCTAACAAGTCCTAGGCTCACCGTCCTGCGACCCCGATAAACCCATGCTAGGCTATTGTCTGTCATGTGACAGACATCGTCAGGACTGGAAACGATCATTTACGTAAAAACACATCAAACACAATAAGCCAAGAACACTTTGTGATCCAAACTGAGGCATCCCATGATTTGGCTGACTCTTTCATACATTCATATATGCATTTCTTAATATTGGGGAGGCTGATGGATGAAAAAGGAAGTTGATGTTGTGGTAGGTGTTTCCTTGCCCAAATAAGTCACCACATGATCTTGCAATTTTTACGCAAGTGTGAAAGTTCTAATCCTACTCGAAGCTATTCAAACCTTCTCCTTTTTAACAATTCTTCATGTCTCTTCGTAGGCCTATTCAATAACCACAAGTAGTGCTCGCTAAATTTCCTATATTAATTCTTCCTATTCACAATGTTGGCTGTTTTGTTTATTCCTATAGATGCGAAGAAAAGTTGACGTTCGAGGAATATCTTTGCTCATAGTTGTTGATCTTGCTTCCATATTAAATGAGTGCGTGATTAAAAGATTCGAGAGTAGATACCACCAGAATACGACTGTGGATTCTTCTAGCCATTTCCTGATTTACCTTACTGCTCTATATATCTCCTTAATATATGCATTTTATGAGATATATGGCGATTTAGATAGTCCAAATCACATGTCATTCTATACGCATAAGCAGTGTCTGCTTGTCTGTGCGTATGTGCCTCAATGTGTATGTATATGTACGAAACCAGCAGTGATTGCTCAAAGTAATTAGATCAGAATGTAAGATCCGTCCTCCATCATCATGCTTTAATTACCCTCATTCCTTCTTTTTTATATTTTTACCATCACTCCTATTACTCAATGGTGAACACACGTATGGTGAAGTTATTGAAATTTTTTTGGGAGAAAGGAGTTAGCTGACGTATAGTAGGTGTGATCGTGATTAGAACAATTTCCAACAGAAAGCTAGTTAAGTCAATCAATTAAGCATAAGTGGCTTCTACTTTACTTTTTACCGCTTTTCCTGTCTAATTTGGTTTCGATGGTTTCTAACCTTTTGCCCTGCTGCGGACATACCATAATCAGCAGAGCGACAAATTTGGGACCATTCAATCTCCTGCCCAGTTTCTGCCATCTGCTCTACTGATTATGATTTTTAGCTCCAACAGCCTCTACAGGCATTTTTGTGTTCAGTTACCTTTTGTCGAATGAGACAACAAGTCTTCCCAACTTAAAAGCGACTACATTAATACATTATGTTATAGCAACAGGGCCATATTTCTCTCTAAGCGTTGGCATAACTGAAGTTAGTGTCAGTTTTCTTGAAAATCACTTTTATTCCCCACTTCCTCACTAGTTCGCCAAGCTTTTTATATACGACGCACGAGGGCAAAGTCAGGA